GTTCTTCAGAATGCCGTACGAGAAATTTCTGTACGGTGCCACAGATACGATCATGACCCGGTCAGGAAGAATATACAGAGGATTCGCACCGATCGTCTGGCTTTCCATCGTTTTGCGTTTCCTGGTTCTGCAAACGATCACCTCTATCAATCAGACTATACGCACCGGCAAGATGGGGTATCTTGTGAAGAAGGCGGTTGTGATCCGAAGCAGCGTATACACCGGCCGATAGACGCCGGACATGACTCCTTAACCGTTGTGCATCGAGGTACAATAGCATCAGGGGAGTTAGTTTTAAACGGATGCTAAATTGAGAGATGCCTTGGCCAAAGAGCTTGGGGTTCTATGCTTTGAGATGGAAGCTGCAGGGGCCCTTACCGACTTCCCATGCATGGTAATTCGAGGGATCTCAGATTACTGCGACTCACACAAAAATGACGTATGGCAGGGGTATGCAGCGGCAGTAGCTGCTGCTTATGCAAGGCAGCTGCTCTTCTACATTTCAATCATGGAAACCAGGAGGCAAGGTCTCCTACGGTCTGAGAAGAAGCTCGATGATAATGAACAGGGTAGCGTTCCCAACCCAACCAGTGGAATGCATGATTCCACTCGTTTACATCACGAAAGACAACTCATGCCCCATTTGATTGAAGAGTTCCTTCGAGCGGTTAAAGATCGTAAGATCGAGGTTATTGAATCATGGCTAGAAAGGATGGATGTCAACGTGCGAGACCCTCGCTCAGGGCGAACAGCACTCTCTTTTCGCGGCCGAGGCCGGCGAGGTTGATATCGCCAAGATACTTCATAACCATAACGCTCTGGTGAACGTTCCGACAGTATACTCGTCCGGGTGATAGAGCTGTCGTCGACTCGACCTGGACAGGCGGAAGATCTGAGCTTGGCTGGGCGGTTTGTCGAGGACATGCCGAGATGACTGAGCTTCTCTTGAAGTATGGCTCCAATCCAAACGCCGCTAATAGCGCGGGGCGTACTCCGCTTCATCATGCCTGCATGAGGCTTGACTTCAGAATTGCAAGGATTCTGCTTGAGAACGGAGCAGATGTCAATCACAAAAGTTTTCACGATGTATTTCCCCTGACCTTCCTTCCAATGCAGCGACATCTGTCTAATCTTGAAAAGGGTTGGGCACCAATCCACGAAGTACTCATGCGCGGCCACACGGGCTTTCTCAGAATGCTCCTTGAGTATGAGCCCCTACTTGATGCCCAGGTAGATAGGAACAAAGAAGCCCCGTTACATGCCGCTGTCTTTAAGAAAAGCTCTAAACTTCTCAAGATGCTCTTAGACAAAGGGGCGAATCCCGATATTGGAATGGCGGAGAATATTACCCCCTTGCACCTTGCTGCTACCGCAGGCTGGGTCGAGGGGATCCACATCCTTGCAAGTTCAAACGCCACGATTGATTGCAAAGACTTGTTTCTTCTAGAAACACCGCTTCATAAAGCTGCACGAAACTGCCAATTCGAATCGTGCCTTCATTTAATCAATTATGGTGCTTATGCTCAAGAACGAAATATAGACGATCAGGATTACCAGTCTATTTTGTCCCTTGCACGAGAATATCCAGACGATTGGCGAGTAGATCCCAATAGGGGCTACTTTCTCCAATCACGGTAAGTGCCGTAGGGGAAGAGAAAGTTGACATGGATCGCGCAGGCCTTGATCAACGAATTATCCTTGGGGAGACGTGCAGGCGCCTTGGCCGACGTGGTCAGAGCCCGGATTGTGCCGTAGATTTTGCAACGGTTGGATTTATAGTTATAGGCTGTCGAACTAGGCACCTGATGTCGTTCTACGGGTACGCTGAGAACCATGGTATATTATGATTTATATATTAAAAAAAAGAAAGAAACGAAAAGAAAATTGACATTCTGTTTAATATCTTCGGGATGAAAGCTAGTTGTGAGAGGATCGTGTCAGTCGAATGTCCACGCGGCGCTCTCAAACTTCGGAAGCCCTAGTTATTTATATATAGAATATAGATTAATGTGCAAGGAAAGTCTTAGGTTAGTAGACACATTACCATCTGGTTATCTATTGAACCCTATCGGAATTCTATTTCCATAATGTGAAACCGGTATGTAATAAGCGGTCAATTGCCCTGTACCAGTAATATTATCCGGCTATGGCAGCTGTCGAAAACTGCACGGTCCTATGCAGCATAGCTCATGAGGTCAGAGCAACCCCGCTTGAGGACCTTGAGGGCCTACACCGACAGGTCCTTATATAAATATTATGTCTGAACCCCGGAGTGACTCGTTGCTTGACTCTTTTCTTGGTTGTGTTGCAATTGTTCTATCATTCTTGGCTTACTATGGCTTTCAATCATACATAATTCATCACATTGATATCATCGAGCAAGCATACAGGTCAAAACACTTTTCATTATAATTTATTGACGGCAGTCCACAACGCAGCGGACACAGTCACCGTGGTGCATCTGCTCGAAGGCAGTGTTGATGTTGCCCAGAGTCTCACGGTGGGTGATGAACTCATCAACCTTGAGCTGGCCGCTCAGGTAGTCATCAACCAGGCCGGGCAATTGGGTACGGCCCTTGATACCACCGAAGGCGCAACCCTTCCATACACGGCCGGTGACGAGTTGGAATGCTGGTTCCAGTGAGTACGAGGAAATATATCATGCGAAGGAGAAATGGGAAACTTACGTCTGGTAGAGATCTCCTGTCCAGCAGCAGCAACACCAATGACGATACTCTCACCCCAACCCTTGTGGCAAGCCTCCAGGGCAGCACGCATGACGCCGACGTTACCGGTGCAGTCGAAAGTGTAATCACATCCACCGTCGGTCATCTCGATCAGCTTCTCCTGAATAGTCTTGCCCTCGAGCTTGGTGGGGTTGACGAAGTCGGTGGCACCGAACTTGCGGGCCCAGGCCTCCTTGCCGTCGTTGACGTCAACGGCGATGATCTTGCCAGCCTTGTTCTTGACGGCACCCTGGATGACGGAGAGACCGACACAGCCAGCACCGAAGATGGCAACGTTCGAGCCCTCCTCGACCTTGGCGGTGACGACGGCGGCACCGTAACCGGTGGTGATACCGCAGCCCAGCAGGCAGGAGCGGTCGGTGGGGATCTCGGGAGTCACAGCGACGACAGAGATGTCGGCGACAACGGTGTACTGAGAGAAAGTGGAGGTACCCATAAAGTGGAGGAGGTCCTTGCCGCGGGCCTTGAAGCGGGAAGTACCGTCGGGCATCACACCCTTACCCTGGGTGGCACGGATCTTACCACACAGGTTGGTCTTGCCGGACTTGCAGAACTTGCACTCACGGCATTCGGGGGTGCTGATGGAGGTTAGCGGTGCTCGACACAGGGGCCTCAGGCGGGAGCGTACTAAAGAGCAATGACATAGTCGCCAGGCTTCACGGAGGTGACGCCCTCGCCGACAGACTCGACAATACCGGCACCCTCGTGACCGAGGACGACGGGGAAAGCACCTTCGGGGTCCTTTCCGGAGAGAGTGTAGGCGTCTACGATTGTCAGTTTCCGCTGGGGCAGCGAGGGAATGGGAGCGACGAACCAGTGTGGCAGACACCAGTGTGGTGAACTTGAATGCGGACTTCGTGAGCCTTGGGGGGAGCGACTTCGATGTCCTCAATGGAGAGGGGCTTGCCGGCCTCCCAGGCAACGGCGGCCTATTAAGATGTTTAGTCGGCCTGAGACGAAATACAATTCGCGTCATAAGTCGGGTATTTACCTTGCAGGTGATGGTCTAGAAAAGTTAGCTAAGCTCGGCGAATAACAATTGAGGGAACGTGGGATGGCGGGGTAAGTAAGTACGTACCTTTCCAACAGTGTCAGCCATGCTGAGGGTATCTAAAAGGGTATGAGAGGACTGAACGGAGGAAGAGAAATAGATGAATTCAAAAAGGGATGATGAAGGAAAAGGAAAGGAAAAAGAATAAATGGATGGATGGAAGGAAGGAGGAACGAACCAGAAGGTGAAGAAATGGGTAGGGAATGGGTTGCTTAAAACGGGAGCGTGTCCATGGTGGGGTTTTTTTTTGGCGATGAGGGGAGAGGGGGTGGGGGAAGTGTTGGACCATGAGGGGAGAGCATCGTTGGAGCTATCTTACATCTAAACTCCTCTAGATATCTAAAGCATTGGTTTCACGAATTGCTTCTTCTTTCTTTTTTTTTTCACAATCCCCTCATCCTCTCCGCATGGTGTTTGGGGGTGGGTGGGCTCATGATGCAATCGTTCTTAACGCCCAGCACGGGTATTTTATCTGACTAAACCAACATGTTCCTGCGACGATAAAGAACCCCAAATGATAGTCGAGTGCCCCTTATGCTTATCAGGATGACCTGCATACGGTTACCTTAAAGTGATGGGCATTCCCCATCTAGGTATACTATTTACTCCAAGATCTGAAGCTGTAGATCTGAAAGGGAGGAAGAAGTGAGAGCACGGGGTCCCAATCGGGTAATGTTTTCCACATGGTCCGTGCTTTTAATAAAGGTGATGGAATTTATGAATGGAGATTCTCTCTTCCGCTTGACATGAGAATATCGGCTGAGGAGAAGTTCCGCTCGGAAAAAGAATGGGGACTGGGCGGAAAAGTACGGCTCTGAATGGTTCATCCCTGCGGTGGATCCACTATTGCACTTCCCCCAAAAGGGTGATGGTTTCCATTAGCCGACCTGCTGTCCTTTACTACCCGGACTCCTCGCAACATCGTTCCTCCGCTCCCGTCACCAATATCTTGTCGGAGTAACTACGGAGTAAAGAGTTGATGACAAGTGTATTATGATGAATTACCTTGATTAAATTGAGCATGGCTGGTTTACTTGGATTTTGCCCTTTTTTCTTTTTTCTTTTTTTCTTTTTTTCTCTTGGTTCCAATTTTCAGGTACCATTCGCTTAGTTGCTAGTTTCTTATCTACAGCAATCGTTGGCATGAAAACAACACCTGATGGTTTCAATTAAATACCTTAACATACCCATCAAGGGTCCATTGCACGTCCATAATCACTATATTGTACAGTACATTCCCCAGGGCACGAGCCGATGAGCAACATGGATAGATGCTCATTGAGTACTCGGGACTCAACAAAGCGGAAACCCTAATCCAGATCATAGCCGAATCCCAGACCAAATGCAATCAACGGGGGTCATCATTTGAAAAAGTCTAGTTTGTACACGAACCGCCGAACCCAGAAGAACAAGCAGATCATTCAATCAATCCATTACCGCCCGGGCATCTGACCACTCTGCATCATAGCGGCGTTCTGCTCCTGGAAGCGTTCGTTCAAGCGTTGAGAGCCCTTCAGGAACTTGTCCACGCAGCGGAGGGTGCAGCCCTCCTCGCGGGAGATCAGGGACTTGGTGGTGAAGTCATTGACACAGTCATCGAAGCAGCGCTGGACGAGCTTGGAGTACATCTAAATAAATAAAAAAAAAAAAAGGATTTCAGTTAGATGATGTTGGGACATGGAGGCGCAAGTAGGGATGAAATGTCGAGTGGTTTCCGCATAAAGCATATGTTCAAAGTTGAATTGAGACCTGGGATCACATACGGTCATGAACTCCTTCAGCTGCTTCCTCTCCATGCGAGCGGCGAACTCGCGCTGTTCCGAGGCATTGAGTCTAGCAATAGTAAGTTAGCATCAGCCAGCAGTTTGTGGTCCGCACCGAAGACATAAACACCAAACTAGAATAAATAGACGCCAGGGAAAACAAGAATAAACTTACCCTTCCATTATGATATTAGATATGTATGTTATGAATAAAAACAGGTGATGGAGAATCTGATGGCGTGATAAGAAATAACAATCGTCTTTTATTCTTCTGGGCGGTCGAAGCTTCGGAGCTCTGAACAGACCGCAGGCTCTGGTCTCACATGACCTCATGTGACGTCCGCTTCACCTGACCTTGGGATCTCGTGATGGTCATGTGATAGATTATATAAGTCGGTCCTGGCTGAGTCATCCAACCTCGGAACACATAGAAACGTGACGACGTCTACCAACCCAATTCGGCAATGGTACTGTCAATCGCCAAAGTAAAAAAAGAAACAGACTACCCACAGGGGACCAGAACACGGTCTCCAGGTGCGGTGGCATGAAGGGAACCATGGTTGGCTGATGGTCAACACTCATTACTCGGGCAATCAACTTACAGGGAGAGCCTGGAGAGGCTCTCTCCAACAGAGGATCGGCGGTGGGCAAAATACCGGCACCACGGACACCAGGGGCGTTCAACGCCCTTCTTCTGCCTTCATTGGTCATTGCGTTGTCACGGATTCTGATCATCCCTGACTCGTCAGAGAAAAGAGAGAGGGGGTGGTTCTTCTTCTTCCCTTTTGTTTCGGGTTGGCATTTCGGATGACACGAGAAAGATCGTGATTGCTGTTGGCGAATTAACCATGGACGCTGATGGTGCGGCAGTTATTTTGGACACAACGTTGCATTTTCTTAAGATCCATTCTTAATATAGATCGACAGTCATTGTCAGCCGAATCGTAGTCGTCTACAATTTCGCATGGTCATCATTTGGTCTTTGTACTGTTTGTGTTGAATGTTTTCCCATTCTTTATTGCCATGTAAAAGGTGTATGAGACGATGTATGTATAGTTTCGTCTCTGCTTCCTCACAGGACCTTCGCTTACCCTGACTAGTCCTATTAAACTCTACCTTTTCCGTTAGGGAATCCTTTAGTTTCAGATAATCCCACGCTATAGTGAACCCTTGTTGGGTCCAGAAGAGACTCTGGATCCTTGGGTCTGGGTCATCCTCTCTAAAACGAGTGATTGACATGAAATTTTGGTCTGACTGGTTCCTGGTCTGCCTGACGGATGGATTAAATTCTCATCTCATCAAGAGGACGTGAGCCTACCAGAGACCGACTTCTGATGAACCACCGCTTTTCTTTTTCCTTTTCCTTTTCCTTTTCTATTTCTTTTTTTCTCTTTCCTTTTTCTTCCCTCTTCCCCTTGTGATTCTGGGGCCTGCAGTTCTTAGCGTTCGAGCTATTGATTTTTTCTGATACACTTACCTACACACTTGCCCCGGTTGACACTGTCGATTATATTAGTGCCAATATGTTGTACCCCATACCAATAACCACCACCGCATACTAATCCCCAATCCGAGTTTTTGATTATTATTATTATTAGAAGAATTCTATTATATTATTCGATTGAATCCACCAACAGAGGGCAAGGAGTTCTAGTCTCCCTTTTTCCCCAAAGTTGTGTGTGTGTTCTCCGATCGATCATCCATCAAATTACCGTTTTCCCTTCTTTGCCCCCCCCATTCATTCATTGAAAGTCCATTCAGGTCATCTCCCCATCCTTCTTTCTTCATCCCCTCTCCCTCTCCCTCTCCCTCTCCCTCTCCCTCTCCCTCTCTCTCTCTCTCTCTCTCTCTCTCTCCCTCTCTCTCTCTCTCTCTCTCTCTCTCTCTCTCCCTCACTCTCTCATTCTTGTCTCCTTTGCACAACCTCCCTCTCTTACCTGACCCCCTTCTCTTTTTATCTGTGTTCCCCTTTTATGTTTTTTATATCCTTCTACTTTCCACATTTCATGATCCCTCGTATCGCCTATTAGAATTATCTTTCCTGCTCGTTTGGTCGTGCTTGGTTCTCAAATCCTCGTGGCCCACCGTGCCTGTTCTCGAGTGTGACTACACACTACTTGCGGACGGCGCGGCACTTGACCACCCGCTGCCACGCTGACTAGTTCCTCGTGCTATTTTGGGGACCGTTAAATTTCCCCTCCCAGCCCCAGAATTTCTTTGCGCAAACACGAAGGGCGGTGACGGATCCCTCGGGTCATCGGTCTGGACCATATAATTCTGTCGCATTGTGCTAGCCTCCCGTTTCCATCGCACAGCATACCATTATGGTCACGGGCAAATCTCAAGGCGCCGAGGCGTTTCAATCGCTGCCTCCCACAACCACCCAACCTAGGTTTATCGCCGCATCGCCACCGTCGAAACGTGATTTGGCTTCGTGGTGGAGACAGTTTAAGAGAAATACCAGGAAAGAGGAGCCAAAAGGTACGTGTGTATGCGTGGGGAGGGACATTGCTTTGGGGGAAGCCTGCAGACCGAGGATGCGATGGGCGAGGATGTCTGCCTTACCTTGTCCAGTTTCGAATCTGCGGGTCGCATTTAGTCTTGGCTCTCGACAATATCTCTCATGACGATAGCTACCATACATGATGACTCGCTTTTTTTTTTTTTTTTTTTTTT